AGCAACAATATTGGATTTAGCATGATCATTGTTACTGCTAGAGGAAAAATCTTTCTTGTTACTAGACTTGACTTGAGGCATGGCGGCAACGAAATCTACAGCAAATTTCTCGTTCATCATTCCCGTCCCACTTTGTAGCTCGTCGAGCACCTCATCGAGGAAGTCACCGTGTCGCTTCTGAGGTGTACTGAGCCTTTCTTTTAGTAGGTCCGTGAGTACCTTTTGCACGTTTTTCCTTCCCTGCATGCAGAAGCATGCATGCATCAAGACCACGGTTGTACCTTTTGCAAGTATGTTTTCAGCTTAGATTTCTCGATGTCTTTCTTTAAAACTACTCCTTCCTATCCAAAATAAGTGTCGCAGTTTTAAATTGGAAATTGCGGCACTTATTATGAATCAGAGATAGTAAGTAATTATATATAGTACTGAACACATGTGTACATACCTGTATACATCCGTAGAATGTTGTCCCAGGAAAATACAGCGGGAAGGAAACCATTCCCTGGAAGAAGGCATCAAAGTTCTTCCTAAGTTTCCTTGACTTTTCGGGGCCAAAACCAATAAGCTTCTTGGCCGTCTGGTCAAATATCATCTGCATCGCAGGAAGCCGATAATGCCACTCAGTCACGTTAGTACCCAACAACTAGCTAGGCAATGCAAGTCAGTTGATGGCTACAATTATAATAGGTGGCGCGATCATCAAAGTAAACTATTACATCACATGCATGTCCTTACTTACTGATGGCTGCATGCATCATTCTGATGCAGAGGCCGGGGTAATACTTCTTTTCAAAAAAAAAAAGACCTTACTTACTTACCGTGGCCATGGCGTCCTTGACCTCGATGACAGGCTCCGCGGCCCATGCAGCAAGGTTCTGCGTCACGCTGCGCCCTATCTCAGCGAGGAGCACGTCCCGGAGGCTGTCGGGGCCGAAGAGCCTGGCCGCGAAGCTGCGGACGTACTTGTGGACGGAGCCGTCGCAGTTGGCCATGCTGTCCTTTCCGAAGATGCTGTTGGCCGTGTCCGGGTACCAGCTCCGGAACAGCTTGCCTTCCTGCTGGAAGATGAAGCGGTTCACGTCCGCGTCCATGGACACCACCACCGGGTGTCCAACCAGGTTCGTCTTGAACAACGTGCCGTACCTGCATTGCGCGGCCCGATTTGGATCGTCAATCCACTCCTGCAGCTTCATCCATCTATGAAGCTAGCCTAGCTACAACTAGCTAGCTAGCGGTATATATGTATGTGCAATGTACGAATTGAATAGCATAACTTCAATTAATTAGTGAAAAATACACTAGAAATAGCGTAATTTAGTCCCCATTTGGTTAACTCCAACCACGACTAATTAGGAGCCTGTTCGGACTCTCTCCCCGCTCCAACTCCGCTCTGGAGCGGAGCAGCATCCAGTTCAAATTTTCGGAGTCGCTGAAGGGCCACTCCGCACGCTCCACTCCGCGCTGAAGGAGCGGAGGATTGCAGGGCCTAGTTACTACCTTTTCAGCCTTTGCTTGTAGAAGCCTGAGATGTCGAGAGAAGGGCTTGGCCTCATGAACTGTAAGGACTCGCCAACGAGAGGGAAGCCCATGGATCCAGGAGGAAGCCTCCCAATGTTGCACGGAGGATTGTTCCACTTGTACGCCCAGTGCACCAGCCACCCTGCAACAATAAGTGCAAGGCCGCAGAGGGATGCATATGACTGCAAGTAGCCCTCCATCCTGTCTTGAAGATAGATGAGATAGTTCTCTGAGGTAAATACACTGACGGTCATCGTATTTGAGGCAAAAGCACACTATGATCACTGGACTTTAGAATACGCTCGTTATGGTCATTGTATACGTGTTGAGGTGATTATACGGTCACTGATGAGCCGTATTGCTCTGTATTCTGCCGAGTTGACTGGTCAACCTATCCAGTCAAATAGTATACGTGGTCACGCCACTCTCTATTATGCGGGTCCCATCTCTTAGTGGGTGAATAAAATAAATGCAGAAAACTAAATATGCGTGTGCACCCAGGACTCAAACCTGCTGCTCACGCGTGCTAGGCACATGAGACCATGCATTTGCGTGTTAAGTTGTAGACCTCTTTCATTATACTCCTATTATATGGAAACACGCATGCAGAGTTTGAAAAAAAAAACACGCACGCACAGGCCGGACCGCCGGAGTGTTCAGCTCGGGGCCGCCCGGCGACAGAGCACCGCCCCAACATCGGATCTGGGCGCGGCCACCTCCCACTGCGCCGTCCCCAGCCACCTCGCACTGCGCCGCACCCAGATCCGCGCTCGTTGGGCGCCGCCGGCCCGCTCTCTTCTCCGGCTGATGACTAGCTTTCAGGAAAAGGGATTGTGTCCTATCACTTGAATTAGACGCCTAAAACTTAAAGGGCAACGACCCAGCCTGCCCGGCCATACGGCTTATATATATATATATATATATATATATAGGACAAATGTTTCCTACAAGCAGTGGTAGTTACCACCACTTGCGTTTTGTATGTTGTATGTAGTATCCGTCGAAACCGAAAGTATGTATGTGTAGTATGTAGTATATAACAATGATTATGTAGTATATATACTAATTTTTAGGTAATATGTATCATTTTTTGAGTATGCTCTTTTTTACATACAAATATGTACGTATTTCACAAATATAACAAAAACTATGGGCTCATATGCAATTTTTTCATGTAACTTGCTTTGAAATAGCTTAGATATAGTATATGAACATATTTAAAATAATAAAATAATATATATAGTATCATATGGTAGTATATGAGACATGTGGGGTAACTACCACCGGGTGGTAGGATGGATTTTCCCTATATATATATATATATATATATATATATATATAGGATAAATGTTTCCTACAAGCAGTGGTAGTTACCATCACTTGTGTTTTGTATGTTGTATGTAGTATCTGTTGAAATCAAGAGTATGTACGTGTAGTATGTAGTATATAACAATGATTAGGTAGTATATATACTAATTTTTAGGTAGTATATACCATGTTTTGAGTATGTTTTTTTTTACGTACAAATATGTACGTATTTCACAAATATAACAAAAACTATGGACTCATATGCAATTTTTTATGTAACTTGTTTTAAAATATTTTATATATATTATACGAATATATTTAAAATAATAAAGTAGTATATATAGTACCACGTGATAGTATATGAGATATAGGTGGTAGTTACCCCATATGTCTCATATACTACCATGTGGTAATATATATACTACTTTATCATTTTAAATATATTCATATACTATATCTAAGATATTTCAAAGCAAGTTACATAAAAAAATTATATATAAACCCATAATTTTTGTTATATTTGTGAAATACGTACATATTTGTACGTAAAAAAGAGCATACTTAAAACATGGTATATACTACCTAAAAATTAGTATATATACTACCTAATCATTGTTATATACTACATATTACACGTACATACTTTCAATTTTGATAGATACTACATACAACATACAAAACGCAAGTGGTGGTAACTACCACTGCTTGTAGGAAACATTTGTCCTATATCTAGATGTGAAATAGCTATCTCAAGTCTATAGCCATTGGATTTTGTCTTATCTTTAGGATTCGTGCAAGTTGTTTTTTCTGTTCTGGTCATGCGCTTCGCTCGTGTCGCGCGTCGTTCGTAGGTGCGCGCGGCCCATCATTTTAGCGGGTTTGTGTTGTTTTTTGCCTGTTGCGGGCCGCGTTGCTTGTTGGGCTGGCGGGCTGTTTGACTGAGATTTGTTTTGCCTGTTGCGGGCTGGCGGTTCTTGTTGGGCTGGCGGGGCTGTTCTGAGCAGTTTTGATGTTTGAAGTAGCTAAGTCTCAGCTGGCCGGCTGTTTAGTAACTTGTGCGTTCAGATAATTCTGTGGAACCCCCTAAAAAAAGATAATTCTGTGGAACGATAGGATTTCCATTTTTTTCAGCACAAGTTGATCTTTTTTGTTTTTAAGTGATTTTGATAGTTTTAGTGGGGGTTGGCACATATTTTTCCCCATATGAAGTGTCTTGTCTCTGTAGGTAGGAAATGGGGCATAAACATGCGGTTTTTAAGTTTCAGTAGAAGATGAAGTGTCTTGTGTCTTGCTAAGCTAATTTTTCACACAGAGCTAGTTTTCATTTTGTATGAAACAAGGTTTTCATTTTGTTCTTTCTTTTTTCAGTTTATATCCATGTTTCATGACAGTTTCTTTATTGTCAGCCAGCGGCGATTGTGGGGATCAAAAAGGGAAGTGGAGGAGAGTGCCGGTTAAGTATCCGAACTACATGTGATTAATTTATATGCATTTTTTTCATCTTTGTTAGGTTATATGTGTGTTTAATCTAATCTAATGTGGGGGATTAAGTGGGATGTTTGGTAGTTTGATTTTTTGTAGTGTTGTTTATATCTAGTAGTATTCTACATATATAAGTTGGAGCACCAGCTCATGATTATCTTGTTTTTTGTAGTGCTCTGTACATCTACTAGTTTTTTTGTGTGGATGTTAAAGATGGTACGCTCAATGAAATAATCTTATCGGTCGCCCCAAGAGTAGTGATAAATTGGACGATAAATCGCTGAATCGGAAGATTTTTTGAACAGTATTAAATACTAGTTGTGTAATACACTCCTAGCTTTTCTTGCTTATTTTTTTTACCCTGTTTTGCTTGTTACTAATCTCTAGTTCCTAGTTTCTACTTACTAGTTTTCGACAGCTTTGCTATGAGTACTTTTGATATATTTTTCATAGTTACTGGTTCCAATAGTTTTCATTAGTTTAAGCATCAGTATGAGCACCATCAGTTACAGTCTTGCCCTATGTTGATTTTTTTTTGGTATTATTTAGGATGGTGTGCCCAGTTTGCTTTGCTCACTGCAAGGCGGACAGTGGTGAGAGCTTTGGCATGTTTTTTCGTGATGCCAACGAAACCTTTGCAGTAAAAAATTGCTTGCCATCTTTTACTTTGTACGTGTTTTTTTTTGTGTGCTCTAGTTGATATGCATTTTTTTCAGATACTCCCATGCTCTACCATGCAGCGGTTCCCACAAAAGTTTGCCAATGGGTTCTTGAACTTGAAAGCTCATGGCCGCCGATACGTTGTGGGTGTTCTCATTGCGCATGGCAACACATGCATCGGCGGCGATGACTAAAGGAAGTTCATCAAGGACTTCAACCTTGGCCATGGGGAGCTTGTTGTTTTTCCCATGATTGGACATATCGCCAAAGCGTTTGTGTGCTGTTTCGGTGGAGGTTTTTCTGTCGGAGATCAAGCTGAAGCGACAGAGGGTGTTGTATTCAATCATGATGAGGAAGGAGGAGAGCAAGGGCATGGTGGACATGTGGATGAGGGGTTTAACAATGTCCAAAATATGGAAGAAGCCGCTCTAGACATCATCTACAGCAGAGATGCCATTTTAGTGGAGCCCGCATGCCACTTGCAAGTAGACCATCACCTCGCAACTAGGGTTGTTTACTCGATGCCACTTGCAACTCGACCATCGACTTGCAACTCAGCTTTTTTGTAGTTTGTAATTGCCCTAGTTGCAAGTCCACCATCAACTCGCAACTGTGGGTGCCTGCATGCCACTTGCAACTCAACCATCGACTTGCAACTCGTTTTTTTGTAGTTTGTAATTGCCCTAGTTGCAAGTCCACCATCGACTTGCAACCGATCTATTTTTTGTATGTAGTTTTATAATTGCCTCCATCAACTCGCAACTGTGGGGGCCCGCATGCCACTTGCAAGTAGAACATCGACTCACAACTGGTCTGTTTTTTTGTTTGTAGTTTTGTAATTGCCCTAGTTGCAAGTCCACCATCGACTCACAACTGTGGGGGCCCGCATGCCACTTGTAGTAGACCATCGACTCGCAACTAGGGATGTTTACTCGATGCCACTTCCAACTCGACCATCGACTTGCAACTCTGTTTTTTTGTAGTTTGTAATTGCCCTAGTCGCAAGTCCACCATCGACTTGCAACCATGGGGTGCCCGCATGCCACTTGCAACTCGACCATCAACTTGCGACTCAGTTTTTTTTGTAATAAGTTTGTAATTTCCCTAGTTGCAAGTACACCATCGACTCGTAACTGTGCGTGCCCGCATGCCATTTGCAAGTAGACCATCAACTTGCCACTAGGGATGTTTACTCAGTGTCACTTGCAAGTAGACCATCGACTCGCAACTGGTCTATTTTTTTTATAGTGTTGTAATTACCCTAGTTGCAAGTACACCATCAACTCACAACTGTGGGGGGCTGCATGCCACTTGCAAGTAGACCATCGACTCGCAACTGGGTTTTTTATTTGTTTGTAGTTTTGTAATTGCCCTAGTTGCAAGTCCACCATCGACTCACAACTGTGAGGCCCGAATGCCACTTTTAAGTAGACCATCGACTTGCAACTGGGTCTTTTTGGTTGATGCCACGTGCAAGTAGACATTCCACCAGCAATTGGGTCTTCTATTGTTCATGCCACTTGCAAGTGGACATTCGACTTGCAACTGGGTTTTTTTGTTTGATGCCCACTTGCAAGTGGACACTTGACTTGCAACTGAGTTTTTTTGTTTAATGTCTATTTGCAAGTGGACCCTCGACTTGCAACTAGATCTTGTTGGTTGATGCCCTTACAAGTGGACCCTCGACTATTGCAACCAGAGTCCTTTCTTTTCATGCCACTTGCAAGTCGACCCTCGATGTGCAACTGGGGTCCTCTGTTCTCATGCCACTTGCAAGTGCACCTTCGACTTGCAAGTGGGTCTTCTGTTTCTGATGCCCACTTGCAAGTCGACCCTCCACCTGCAACTGGGTCTTTTTGGTTGATGCCACTTGCAGGTCGACACTCCACCTGCAAACCGGGTCTTCTGTTTTTCATGCCACTTGCAAGTCGACACTCAACTTGCAATTGGTTTTTTCTTTGATGCACACTTGCAAGTGTTTTTTTGTGTCCACTTGCAAGTCGGCCCTCCGCCCGCAACTGGATCTTTTTGGTTGATGCCCACTTGCCAAGTCGACCCTCGACTTGCAACCAGGTCTTCTTTTTTTATGCCACTTGCAAGTCGACACTCAGCTTGCACTTGGTCTTTCTGTTTTCATGCCACTTACAAGTGGACCATCGACTTGGGAAATGGTTCTTCTTGTTTGATGCCTCTTGCAGTCGAGCCTCACTTGCAACTGGGTCTTCTATTTTTTTATGCCCACTTGCAAGTTAACCCTCGACTTACAACTGCTTTTTTTGTTTGATACTACTTGCAAGTCGACCCTCGGACTTGCAACTGAGGTTTCTTGTTTTCATGCCACTTTGCAAGTGGTACCTCGACTTGCAGCTTTGTCTTCTTTTTTATGCCACTTGCAAGTCGACCCTCGATGTGCAACTGGGATCTTCTGTTTTCATGTCACTTGGTCTTTTTGTTTGCAACGGTTTCTTTTGTATTTTTGATGCCCAGTTGCAAGTCGACCCTCGACCTGCAACTAGATCTTGTTGGTTGATGCCATTTGCAAGTGGACCCTCGACTTTTACAACTGAAGTCATTTGTTTTTTATGCCACTTGCAAGTCAAGGGTTGATGTGCAACTGGGGTCTTCTGTTTTCATGCCACTTGCAAGTGAGTCTTCTGTTTCTGATGCCCACTTGCAACTCGACCCTCGACCTGCAACTGGGTATTTTTGGTTGATGCCACTTGCAAGTCAACCCTCAACCTGCAACTGGGTATTTTTGGTTGATGCCACTTGCAAGTCGACACTCCACCTGCAACTGGGTCTTCTATTTTTCATGCCACTTGCAAGTGGACACTCGACCTGCAAGTGGTTTTTTTTGTTTAATGCCCACTTGCAAGTGGACACTCGTCCTGCAACTAGTTTTTTTTGTTTGATGCCCGCTTGCAAGTGGACACTCGACTTGCAACTGAGTTTGTTTTGTTTGAAGTCCACTTGCAAGTGGGCCCTCAAATATTGCAACTGGGTCTTTTGTTTTTTCATGCCACTTGCAAGTGGACACTCGACTTGCAACTGTGTTTTTTATTTTGATGCCCACTTGCAAGTGGACACTCGGCTTGCAACTCGGCTTTTTGGTTGATGCAACTTGCAAGTCAATGGCCAACTTTGCAATTGGGTTTTCTTGTTTCATGCCACTTGCCAGTCGAGGGTCGACTCAGTACTATGGGACCATACTTTTTTTTTTGTTTCTTGCCACTTGCAAGTCAAGTGTCATTTTTTGCAATTTTTGTATTTTACGATCTTGTAGTCAACCGAGTTTCCAAGTCCACCATTTTCTTTTGACTTGCAACTATGGTTCTTTGTGTTCATGCCGCTTTTTTTGCAAGTCTTACTCACTCGAAACTGCAAGTCCAACCTTTTTTGATTTGATAGTTTATATTTCACAAACATTTTTTTCCGTATCTTTTTTAAGCTAAAATTTTGCAACCAAGCGCCAACTAATAACTATGTTTTTTTTCCTTTTTCATCTCTTTTTTTGTTGATTTTTTAGGCGCACTAGTGTTTTTAGTGACCCTTTTTTTAATCTCATTTTTTAGTTTCACAATTTTTTTTACAAGGCAGACCCCCAAAAATGCTTTTTCTATGTGTTTTTAGACTAAACACAGTGTTCTGTACTCAACTGCCCTTTTTAAAGTCTTTTAGGGGGGTTTTCTGCAAGATCTCCAAAACAACAACGGATCTTCAATATTTATCCACATAGACACATTTATTTTCGCATTTATTTTGTCTCCCACTGCACTGTTTTGAATTGGTGGAGCAGAGGAGGAGGAGGAGACGGGGACGACAAGCTCGAAGCCTCTGGCGACCGAGATGGCCGAGGACGAGCCTCCCGCTCCACACCTCTGCTCGACGCATGAGGCATCCCAAAATGATATCTGCTTGTTCATCTACATGTAGTCCGCTTTTAGTTCTGTTTTTTTACTGGAGAAATCAAAACAAATTCCGTCTTGCTACGCACTGACGGCAGTCAACTGTTGTGTTGTTTCTATACAGACCAGAATCAAGCTTCTGCAGTCAACTGCAGTCAACTTCTTTTACAAGCAAGCAAGATCTTTATCTACTAATAACAAACAAGGGCCAGGCCGTGAGCAAATTTTCAGACAAACAAACAGACAAAACAAAAGCCCAGCTAACAAGGCCCACCAGGTGGGGGGTAGTCGGATGGGTGGGCTAGTGTTGACGATAGACAAACAACAAGCGAGGTGGGAGATCGACAAACAAACAAGCTGAATTTTTTGTTTGTTAACGAGGTGGGACAGATTTTTAGAGGATGATGTCACTTAGATGTGAGGTATTATCTCACTTAGACAGACCCTTTATATGTGTGTGATATGCGCTCTCCGGTATTCTAGTATGCATGTTCAGTTACGAGAGGAGGAGGAGGTACAGCGCTAGCGCAGCGCAATGGTGGAGCTGCTGCTCCCTGTGGCTGTGGGTGTGGGTTTCATGGACTTGTGGGCGGTGGCGCCGTTCGTGGCGGCGATAGCTTTATACTACTTTCTTGTGGAGCAGCTGTCCTACCACCGCAAGAAGGGGGCCTTGCCAGGCCCATCGTGGGTGGTGCCGTTCCTCGGTAGCATCCTGCCACTACCGGAATCGCCCCCTATGCCGACGGCCATGTCGGCATAGGCCTGGCACCCGTTGGGATAGGCCTATGCCGACGGCCCCCGTCGGCATAGGGCCGTCGGCAACATATGCGTCGGCACAGCCAGGGAGGTCGTCGGCATATATGATACGCCGATGGAGGCCGTACATCTATGCCGACGGCCCTGGCCGTCGGCAACTATCACGCCTAACGGTGGCCGCCGTCAAGTCTGCCCAACGAATGGTCGCCACGTGGCACTACTATGCCGACGGCCAGGCCGTCGGCATAGTGGTGCCACGTGGCGACCATTCGTTGGGCAAGGACCAGGGTTATGCTGACGGCCTGGCCGTCGGCATAACTTGAAACTAAACCGACGGCAGGGCCGTCGGCATAGTCCTTCATACAGAGCTCCCAGTAGCTGACACGTGGGCACCTATGCCGACGGCTTAGCCGTCGGCACAGTTTTTAAACTAAGCCCACGGCTAGGCCGTCGGCATAGGTGCCACGTGTCAGCTACTGGGAGCTCACGCTAGCCCTATGCCGACGGCTAGGCCGTCGGCATAGTTTGCATTTGCTTTTTTTTTCTTTTTTCTGTTTGTTTTCAAATCAATTCAATTCAAATAACAGCACATATCAGCACAACAGATATATATGATGGGATAGACATATAAAACACAACGGGATATCATCCGGCACCATCACAACAATATATGCATAAGCATCATCACACATAAGTCTCTAAATGAACATCAT